CTTCTAAAAAACGGATTTTTGATAAAGTAAAACCGGGTTTCTTATATAGATCCGTTTTTTATCCAGTAAAAAAAAAACGGAAGTATGTCGGATCTTTTAAAAACCGTTTTTACTCCGGCAATAAAAACGGATTTTTACTAAAGTAAAACCGGGTTTTTTGTATAAATCCATTTTTCATCCAGTAAAAAAAAACGGAAATATGTCGGATCTTTTAAAAACCGTTTTTACTCCGGCAATAAAAACGGATTTTTGCTAAAGTAAAACCGGGTTTTTTGCCTGATATGTTCAAAAATTTTTTTTTACAGGGAATTTATATTTTTTTATTTATTTTATTATCTTATATTTTTATTTACAAAGTAAAATTCTTTACCAAGAGAAATTTATTATAATATAAATATTTAGTTTTTATTTTATTAATTAATTCATATTATAAATTTAATTGAATAATATTTTAATATTATATTATTGAACAATTATTTTTTTGAGTTCTGAAAACTTGATATTTTGTGCATGTTTTTGTAATGGCTTTTTTAATATATTTATTTCTAAAAACTCACTCAAATATTTCAGTATTCTTAATATTGTGACTTGATTAACTTTTATATAAAATTCCTATTCATATCAAAGAACAAGTTTCTTTTGGATTATTTCAAAGTTATTTTGCTTTTTAAGTAAATAGCATGTTATTATTTATTTATTAATAATATTTTTGTTATAATTAGAAATAAATTAAAAAAAATGAAAAGCAAACTAAAAAATAATATAAAAACAAAAAATAAAAAAGCAAGAGTTAGATCTAGAATTTTTAAAAAAAAGCTATATTTGTTATATTATATAAATTGCAAGATTCCAGACAAATAAAAAAAGAAAATAGTGATATATAATTTATTTTCTGATTGATTTAAAATTATATATAATTAAAAGTAACTATTATATGATTTCAAATTTTCATTATATTTAAAGTAAATTATATATTATTATAAATTAAATTTTCTAAATGCATATTTCTTTAAATATATATAATCAAGTTGGTTTTAATATTATATATTTAAAGAAATTTAATTATATAAATAAAATTCAATATATTTTATATTATAAAATATAAAAACAAAAAATATAAAATAAACTAATTATATATTTATTAAAATTAAGAAATTATTATAAGAATTCAATTTTAATTTATTTTTAATAAATATCAAAGAATATTTATAACTAGTTAATATTTAATATAATTTAGTATAAAAAATATAAATATATAAAAAATAAAAGTTATATAATGACTAACAGAATTATGTAATTATATGTGCAATTTTATTAATAAAATATAGTAAAAATTAAAATTTTTATCTTATATAAATATAAAAGTTTTTAATTTTATTAATAAATATTTTTTATTTTTATATCAAAACAAAGATTATAAATTATAGTTTAACATATATTTTTCTGGATTTTTAATTTTTTATAATAAGTAAAAATAATTTAAATAGTAAAATTTATAAAATAAGAATTCAAAAGAGTTATTATTAGTAAAAATTTTTTTATGAAATATTTATAATTAAAATATATTTATTTTAATTAATTTTAATATTTAATAATTTAAATAAAATATAATTAAAATTTATTTTAAGAAATAATTTATTAATTATTTAAGATACAAATCTTTTTGCACTGGACTATATAAATAAAAATAAAAATTTATTTATATTACAATTATTTGTTTATATAATTTACTGAAATTTTAATAACAGCACTTTTCTAATATTACATAAATTTAAACCCGACAATTTTTGGCTGAAATTAAATCAAATTCGTCTATATAATGTATCTAATTATTTATTCACTTTTCTCGTTATTTACTTTTTTATACTATAATTTACAAGTCTTTATCTCTCTTGGAATCATATATCAAAAATAAATTCCAAATATTACGTAAAAACTTTATTTTTAATACATATAAACTAAATTTATCTATTTTATTATTCATATTAAAAATTTGAATAGTGATTCACTTTAAAATTTAATAACAAATTTTAAATTCGTTCATACTTATAACTCATAATTAATATTATTTATTAAGTCGAATTCAAAGCTAATAATATTTACACAAGGAGAAAGGAGAAATTGTATAATGCAAAATGAATAATTAAATGACGATAGAATAAAACCGCTGGTCAAACTCCGATGCGAATTGAAAGCATTTAGGTTATGCATCTTTCTTTGTCTTTGAAGTAGTTCTCTTGGTGGCCGATCTCTTAGTATTTGTTGCAGCCTTGGTAGTTTTCCTTGGGGCAGCAGCTTTTTTTGGAGCAGCTTTCTTGGGAGTTTTTTTGGTTGTCGTTTTCTTGGTAACTGCCGCTTTCTATTAAGTTGAATGACAGATATTATGATATTGTAATTCAAGCAATCTAATAAGATAGACCATACCTTTTCGATTTTAGGTTTGACTTCCTTTTTTTCTTTCTTGGGTTTTTCCTTCTTTTCGACTTCTTTCTTTTCCTTCTTGATGGGTTCTTTCTTTACGAGTTTAATAGTGCCACTTGGTCCTTCAGAAGTAATATCAAAAATTAATAATTGAATCGAATTTCAAACGAAAGAATATAAATAATTCATACCATTATTGAAGGCAAAAAGTTGTTTCTCAACACCTTTGTTAATAGCAAGCTTGATACGACTAGTAGTTGTTGGATTATCTGGTAGCTTATGAGTATTCAAGATCCATTTCTTGATGGCTTGACGACTATAATTTCATAAAGAAAAAGGAGTGTCAATGAGACAATAGAACTAATGACCAGAAACGCGTCAAAACATTAGTCGATGAATTTAGATTTCTTTTACCTACTACCCTTTCGTTCTTTCAAAGCAATAATAGCGGCTATACAGGAGAAATAATGAAATCAAAAACTTGAGAATTATAGACAACATTCTGTAGTATAAAAACGTACCCTTGATCATATCTTCATATTTAGGATGGGTGGAAGCCGCAGCTACTTTTTTCGGTGCCGATTTAGTTTGTGTAGTCTTAGCCATTGCGTTAATTTAAAGTCCGTGTATATTTATTCTTTGACGAATAGTGTATACGAAGTGTATTGGAAGAAAGGTACACAGGTCGTTTTTATACGTATGAATGTGTGGCGAATTGTTTATCTCGTTCTCACTAAATTTGGAATTCTCGACTGTTTTTCATTGGCTAAAAAATCGCGTTTAAATATCATGTTAATAATGCATAATGTTTTGAAGTTTTTTTTATTTGTCAGCTGACTAATTTTCAAGAATAAACGCGTCTTGTTATGAAAACAGTCGCGTGATTTTGTCAAATTTCGCGTCATTGAAGGATAAATTTATTTGCCAAACTTCATTAAATAATGAAGTTTTGGACGCAATAAGATGACGATGAAATATTTCAAAGCTCCTTGTCTCGGTTATTGAGCTTCAACTGATGATTTAGTAGCTCGATTTCAGCTGTATGCTCAATTATGCGTGACTTGTAAAAATTGATTAAGAACACATTATTTAATATGTATAACGATGAACAAATAAATTTCAGATAAGTAGTTACCTCCAATTCTTCATTTTTCCCTCTAGCTTTTTCATACTCCTTTTCCAGTTTTTGGAAATCTCGAGAAAACTTGTTACGTTCAATACTCCATAATTTCATCTATTGATATTGATGAATATCGACATCATGTCAATTGTTTACTGTAAATAAAGATTTAACTGATCTTTTTTATACCTGTTTCGAAAAAGCTGAATCTTCGTCTTTAGATTTGCCAGAAGACTTTCGCAGCTTAATATTTAAGTCGTCAATAATCTGCGATTTCTCACTATATGAAGATATTCCAATAATACGAGAAATTAATTATGAAGGATGACATCAATGCTATGAACAATAATGACTCACTTTATTATAGCTCTTAATTTATTAATTTCTTGATCGCAAGTCTGCAATAAAATTTGTGACTTGTGCCAATGCGTAACCAAACTTTCCATTTGTTGTTTCTGCTTTTGAAATTTCAACGTATCTTCTTGCCTATAAATATTAATTCGCCGATTATTTATAAAAAGCAGATTTTTAACACGCAAATTATCAAGACTAACCAAAGTAAGAGTTGTTTAATCAATTGATAATTTCGATGTTCTAATTCCGTTAACTTTTCAAGTTTTTCTTTTTCCATTTTGAGCTGATTCTCTAATGCAACGACCCTACATGAATAGAAATTATTATTTATTGAGGGAAAGGTCATTAAGTCAAAATGAAACAATAACGAAAAGAATATACTTTGAGTTCGAATCATCAATCCGCTTAGTTTGATTTTCATTAACAAGCTAGAATCGCCAATTGCCATATTTTAATATCAGTAATAGTAATAAGGATACAGTCATACCTCTATATAATCACCCCTTGTATAGTCACAATCATACCTTCCAGCTATTATGAAGCATCGAAACTTTGACCGCCATAACATTTTTAAAGTCATTTTTTTCTGGCCCCGAGGTGTGATTATATGGAGGAACGACTGTATTATATTATTATAAACGGGTGATTAAATCACAAACCTTAGCTTCTACCAACTCCTGTGTCAATTTATCTATGCTAGACTTCCATTCTCTCTTCTCTTCCCTTAAAGCTTTTAATTTGGTGTGCAATTCATTTTCCCAATGTACTTGCTTTTTCTTGTTACTAGCAGTTTCCGATTTCTGTCTATCAAAAGCTAATTGAGTACTTGCCAATTGTGTTTTTAAGGTGCGACATGTATTATATAAATTTTGTCGTTCTGCTTCAACACTAGCGTCTAAAACATGATCACGATGAAGACGGCCTATGTGTTGTAGATGCTGTTGTTTTAAATAAAGCTCAAAATTCAATTCATTTCTAAGTAACATTATTTCCCGTTGAAGAAATGCAATAGTTGCAGCATTATTTGAAGTTATTTGCAGTGGTATTGTTATGTTCATCTTAGTAGGTTCAGGCTTAGCGGGAACTGGATTTGTAGGAGCGATTATTTGTGATGACTAAATACATAAGAAAAAATTAGTAACTAACATAAATAAAATAATTTATAGTCGATAGTTCAATAAAAATACCCAAGGATCATCGCCAACAACTATTTCAACCCCACTCTTTAATGCTTGATGAACTTCCAAGATGTCATGTATTGAAATAGCTTGTGAAGCTCTCCTCGTTTTTTCCTTTTTATGTAATTCATTCAAAGGAAAATCTATATCCTCGATGAATTTTTTGGGCTCCTCTATTTTAATTTTAATTTTAGATTTCGATACAGCAAGTGCGCTTTCTATATCATAACCGATACATTCAGCTACAACATCAGCAGGCTCGAGCTTCATCCACCTTTTGGTGTCCGACAATTCTTTCTTGTAGTTACTCAAAATTAAATCTGGATGCAGTGTATGACGTCGAAAAAGAGGCTATATGGAGCAATGATCTCAATTAGTATAGTTCTTCAAAAAATTTATTTAAATATTGATATTTTTTTTACCCGACTTCTGGAACGTATCACGTCATCATCAATTTCTTCTGACATATGCACATAATTCATTTCCTGAGCCCAGCCAGTAGGATTCTGTAGAAATTTGACAGTATTACATGGAAACATTCCATATAGAAAGGTAAAAAGTTGTCGACAATCGGGAGGCGTAGATGGTGCAGTATCGAAGGTTGAATCTAATGATAAAATAATTATTTAAATTTTCTTTCGAAGGCTTCATAAATTTGGGAAATTAATTATTTATAGCTCACCAAACCGTTGCCAACCAATTCCATTGCTTGGTTTACGTGTACGTTTTTCTTCACTTGAGGATTCTTCTCCCAACAATAATGTGCGATTGTCATCATCTTCGAATACTGCAGAGCGTGAAGTTCTTTTATCCCAACAGAGAATGCGAGTAAATATAACATACAATTGGGGAAGATAGGGAATTACTGACGTATAGATATGAGGCATGAGCATTATTAATGTGGTCAAAGATAAAGAAAGGAGAGTAGTTGAAGTGTCTTTCTTTTATAATAATGAACAAATTACAGATTAGTTTTCTTTTTACTTTTTAGAATCCCTTCTAAAAATAAGAAGTTTCAAAATTTAAATACCTGAAGGGAAGTTAATAATGAATCAAAAAGACGCGTCTTTAAGATCAGATGAATATACATGGTCTAAAAAATCGATGAATAAAAATTTTCGTAATCAAAAAGTAAAATAATTCCATTCGCAAGTAGCGATATGCGGAAATAAATTATAACATGACCAGTCAACCTGCCGTCGAATGAATTCACACAATAGAGTCAAAACCTTTAATCGATATTCACATTGTACGAAATATGTATTCAGCAAGTCAAAGAAATCCTAAATTTGATAATACAAAAAAATATTAGACTTTTCTTCTATAAATGCTTCGGAATTCATTCTGCATTAATTAATACCTTAGTTTGCACCGCACCAAATCCTCTAAGCACACTCTCTAAATTCTGGCACCAAAATGCATGTGCCTCCTCCCCTATAACTCCATCTTCTTCCCCAGCTGCTTTTCCCACAAAATCAAACTCTTTTATATATAATTCAATGATTGTAGCTCTAAATTTCAGTACGCAGCTAGTATTACATGATAAAATGTCTTGCGTGATTCCTTTTACCTCCGCCACAACATCTTTATAATATAATGGAGAGCGTAGAACAGGCTGTAAGACGGCCTCCCACCAATCTAGTATAAAACTATCAGGTCCAAGAACCCCAAGCAAAGCTCGTATACACTTGAAAAAAAATACAAGTTTTTCAGAGTCTTGTACAGAGCTATATATTGAAATTAATTCTAAGGAACCATTATGAGCCTTCTCAAATTCTAAATGATGTTCTTGGCTTGTTTTGAACACTTCAACGATATCTAATATAGATTGAAGATCTGGACTCGAAGTATTTATATTTGCAGAAATGTTGCGAAGAATGTCCTTAAAGCTTGCCATCTTCAAAAAGGCCTAATCCAAAATAACTGCTTGCTTGCTTTAGAAAACGTCAACTTAAACTAGGATAATACCTTCTTCAAATGAGCAAAGAATTAAATTTACAAACATGACATTGCTATTTATACAGAAGCTATTGGACCGGGATCGACATAGCTTCAAAGATGCCATTTGTATTAATTCAATGACGTTTATGGCTTCCCAAATCTAGTGCACAAAATTTCCATTAGCATATATTAGCGACTAGAATGCGCCGGCGCACAGTCGACTCGCTGAGTCAGCCGACCTGACTTTTTTCGATGCGGCACGTTAATCTTTCTAAATTTGGTATATAATATACATGTATATAATACGTACATGTTTTATGTAATAATGTGATTGACGTAAGCACATAAATAAATTCTAAATAAGGAAATTAACATGACCATCGACTCAGCCGGCTAGTCGATGTAAAAAATTCCAACCCAGTCGCGCCGGTATTTTGTTGCCGGCTTGAAACACTAGCATATATCGGTTAGATGAAATGTACTACATATTGATACACAATATCAAGATAATTTTCATAGTGATATAAAATCTAAAAATTAAATTTTCGAACTTATATAAAGTCTAAAAATTAAATTCTTTACTTTTATTTCAGATTACAAATTATAAATTTTTAATATTATTGTGAATAATTATATTCATTATATATATACGTAAAACACATTCGAACCAAAAGACTCTTTATAATAAAACATGTTTGAATCAAAAGATTCTTTATAATAAAGATTGTTTAATACTGTCACGGGTTGATCGTGATTAGGCGTAATCGACGATTTTGCCTATAACAATGGGTTGGGAGAAGTAATTAGACTGAGTAGTATTCAGACGTTTCTAATTCCCGTGTCGATATCTACGGATATCGTTCAGTATGACGGTAGAGAGGGGAGTTTAGTTGGGTCGGTTTGTAGGTAAGATGTTTTTG